TGCTTCTTCTGAATGAATGACTTATTAGTTCTGTTTGCTATAGCATAGGTTTGACTGCATTTATTCTATTGTAGGTCACTGGCTCCACCTTGAGGCGTACTCTGTAGCTGCAGTCAAAAAATAGCATGGCGTCCAACCTCAGTATCAGGTAATGAAAAGTTCTACACACACTTGTGGTCTTTTTTTTTTTTTTGCCTTACATGTGTTGTGGATCCCCTTAAGGTTTGATGCTGATTGTTATTGTATTTGGTTTTATTATATGCTGTTACCTCTATGAGTTCTAGTATTCAATGCTTAATAAAAAAAAATAAAAAAAACTTGTGGTCTTCATGCTCACTTGAACACTTGGACCAAATACAGGAAATACGCAGTGGTGGACAGTAACGGATTAGTTTTACTTCGTTACTGTACTTAAGTAAATTTTTCAAGTATCTGGAGTACTTTTACTTTTACTGGAGTAATATTTTATTATACGTATCTATACTTTTACTCAAGTACTTGATTTGTGTACTTCGTCCACCACTGGAAATACGTCATAGAAGTAGTCAAGTGGTCAAGTGCTAAGACCGCAAGTGCGGGTATTTGGACAAGGCACACACGTGTGTGTAGAACTTTTCATTACCTGATAGGACACACTTATAGTGTTGTAAAAATGCAAGTGTTTACAGAGCTTTATTTTTATTTTCAATACTTTGCATTTTAAAATCAAGTTCTAAATGTCTGTTCAGTGTCTCTATAACAGATGACAATTTAATTCTGTGGTGCTTCTAACTAAGTGATAAAAAGCAATTGCAAATGTTGTACAAAATAAATATCACCACTACTCATTTGCACCAATAAAACGTGCAACCCTTTGTTTTAGTACCAAATTATATGTAATATCTAATTATCATTAATATTTAACATACATTGGAAAGGTTTCCGTGAGCTCTCGCGAGATCTCTGCAAAAAGTCTCACGATTTATTTCCAGAACATTATGCATGATGGGATACACTAAGCCTCGAATACAGCTCCGGAGGGGTGCTTCTCAATATCCCTCCTCTGCTGCGTCTCAATGTGCCTACTTATACTGGTTTTTTTTTTTTTTTAGGCAAGCTTGGGACATACTATCACGTCACACAACAGCGTTTTTAAAGGACCGCTCTGTTGCACCTGCTACACGCACCCTTGTCACTGTAAACTGGCCTGTTAATCATCTTGTCACAGTTAACATCCTCCACATTTAATTTAAATTTAACTTCCTACCTACTGGAGAGAAAAGAAGTAGCTCGTTGATCTGTCACGGGTCTTTCATGCGGAGAACTCTGCTCATATTTTCTGCATAATGATGCATTTAAAAGTTAACGACCAAATTAATGTTTATAAAAGTTCACATTGCTGTTGCAGATTAAATTAATTAAAACACGGATAACAATAAATAAATATATTTTTTACCAGGTTAAATGTTGATTATTAGTAACTCAAACCCCTTTTTGTAAATCTACCTAACTGTCGATCACGCGCATCCGCCACGTTTGTAGTTTTTCTAGCGCGTTTTATTTGTTTTTGAAGTTCTGGACTGAATCCTTCTCCAAAGCGCAATGGATTGTGGGCAATTTTAGCCACTAGAGTGTGCACAGATCCACACGTCAAAAATCGACCTGAAATAGTAGACCATCAGGGGACTTTTGGCATATTATTTTCAACATACTATGCTTTGGGACACACTTATTCTAATCTCACATACTATTTAGGATGGATAGTATGAACATTGAGACGCAGGGCTCGTTTCCTCGCTCCTCCGTCCTCCATCCTATGACCCGAAACCGATCGAGCTCAGCCATCTTGAAGGACATCTCAATTCTCTAATTGCACTGCGAGGAGGCTTCCAGAGGAGCTATGAGCAAGGATACACAGTGTATCCTTTGCGGAAGTGTTTTTCATTGATAAACCTGACGCATGTATAAATTCTCCTCCCCCTTCACATCTGTTGTAATCATTTTTGTTTATATTTTACCTTTTCATTTTAAATAAACCATGCATGTCATATATTTCAAACAGGGCATCTTGCTTTATTAATATTTATTATGAATGTCTTAAATAACAAACGTTAACAACATAAGGGCAGATCCCTTTAGTGCAGCTGCTGACGCTTTGAAGTGACGCTAAAGGGAGGGAGGATATATCATTTCACTTGATTCAATTCCTCCATCCTTGCGTCCTTCCCTCACATCCTGAAGGGGTGGAGCTAAAACGCGAGGAAAGGAAACGAGGATGCACAAATAAGAATTGAGAAGCACCCGAGATAGTGTGGATTTAGTGTGTGTTAAGGGTTCTCTTTTTAAACTCATAGGATGCCCATTTTCCACAAGTTGATATGATTTTTTGGGGTCTTACTGAAAAGTCTGTAACATAGTTTGGTTCAAATTTCTTTTTTACCCTGTCAAAAACAGCTCTTTTCAGATCAAGCCGTTTTTGTAGCATTTTCCTTTAAATGTTAATGAGCTCTGCTGACCCCGCCCCTCTCTTCCGAGCTGCTCTCAGAGAGACTGTTTAGCCTGTCTGTGTGACGTCACACAGACAGGCATCTGAGATCGGCTCGATTTGAGAAAGGGGTAAAGATTTGAGCAGAATAAAAAAAAAAACACTGGGTGGATTTTTATCATTATAGGGTATATTGTGTACACACACTGCCAACACACATTTCAGTTCAAACAACTTGTAAAAGTGCATGTAGCATCCTATGACCCCTTTAAGACCTGGGACAGTCTTGTGCACACGCTCTCAAGTGGCCAAGACCGCAAGTGTGGGTATTTGGACAAGGCAAAAGTGTGTTTATCTGTATACTATATCAATTATTTGACCTTGTTAGACCGCGGCGTTCCATCAGATATCAGAGAATGAAGCGAGAGATTCAAGCCATCCTCAGTCAAGACAGAGAATGTCTGCTGCACTCAGAAGGGTCCGGCTTTGCAAGGACAAACCAAGATAAAACGATGAACTTTGTTCCATATTACGAGTCCTACACAGGGATTGGTGAGACAATTCTGGCTCCACCTGCTGGACAGTGAATGCGCCTACATGCACAAACATGTTCATAGGGTAGTCATTATAAAATACTGAATAAATATGCAGGTAAGTAAATGTCAGAAAATGTTCTGACCAGTTTTTCCAGATAGTGTATTGTCCTCTGGTATTATTTAATCAAGATAAGTCATCATATTTCAGTCTTCTGCAAACACACACACACACACGTGTGAGATTCCACGTGTCTTATTTTTGTTGTTTGTACAAAAGTCTTAGCTTGTTTTATTCTGTGGTGAGAATTTAACTGTTTTATTTGGGTGCAAAAACAACCATTGATTTTTAGAGTGTTTTTTTTTTTTTTTTGGTCTTTCTTTAGCAATAGCCAATGATTACAAGCCAAAAAAATGGATGTGTTGTTTGGATTGCTTAGTTATAGTAGAACATTTTCTTTGGTCCTCATGAAGTAGGCTACTTTGAAATTTTTAATTTACATTATACCGTTAGATCTTTGATGAAAGATTCATTTGTAATAAGAATTATGTGGCTTAGTCCAAAATCAAAGCTGCAAATAAATGGACGTTCTGGATAAATATTTTGCTACATCAGGTGTGGTAAATCCTTTTCTTAAATAAAGAAGTCCCTTTGTTGCTAGCTATTCCCTTGGGAAAGTTTTTTTTCCAAAGGGATTATTAAAGGTCGTAAATATGATTCAGACCACTTGTCATGTACAGTGCACCTGAGGAAACACTTGACACTTGAGCTCAACATCTGACTGTTTGAACTTCAGGTGAGCAAGAGCTTCAGTAGCCGTGAGAAAGAAACCATTTATTTAGCCATAAACACTAAAGTGATTATTGTGCATAATGGCTTTTCATTGTGAAATTAGAACAATTTCGTAAGCGTATTAGTATTAATGTTCTTGTTTTATAGAAATAAATTTTGGTCAATTTAGCCTATTTTCGTATAACGAATAAATAAATAGCCTACACTCTAAAAAATGCTGGGTTATTTCAACCCAACTTTGGGTCAAATATGGACTAATCCAGCTGTTGGGTTAATTTTTTACATTACATTTTTAACCCAAAAGTTGGGTTAGTCCATATTTGACCCAAAGTTGGGTTGAAATAACCCAGCATTTTTTAGAGTGTAGGCTATTTATTTATTCGTTATACGAAAATAGGCTAAATTGACCAAAATTTATTTCTATAAAACAAGAACATTAATACTAATACGCTTACGAAATTGTTCTAATTTCACAATGAAAAGCCATTATGCACAATAATCACTTTAGTGTTTATGGCTAAATAAATGGTTTCTTTCTCACGGCTACTGAAGCTCTTGCTCACCTGAAGTTCAAACAGTCAGATGTTGAGCTCAAGTGTCAAGTGTTTCCTCAGGTGCACTGTACATGACAAGTGGTCTGAATCATATTTTAACCCAACAGCTGGATTAGTCCATATTTGACCCAAAATTGGGTTGAAATAACCCAGCACTTTTTAGAGTGTACATAGGCTATACATGGGCTTAATAAGAGTGCATCGATGCTGCTTAAGTTGTCAAATGAAGACTAAAATAAAAATGTAGGCCTACTGATATGGAAAAAAAGTGAAAAGCTCACAACAGCAAAGCCTTTCAGTTCCCACGGCGTGATATGAAGAGATGAAAGGTGCACTTGTCACTACTTCACGAAAACTCACCTGTCACTCACAGCCATTATTCAGACAGGTAGGCTACAATAGCTAGGCTATTTAAATAATAAATAGCTATAATAAAGCAATGATGACCAATCATCAAAGAACCCGTTGAGAGAATATAATGGTCAGCTCTGGCTCCATGTCCACAACGACAGCAAGGTGACCATACGGGACCTTGAACCGCGAGATTTCTCAACAAGCTACTTTTTCAGCGATTTTTTCATGAGCGACAGTGGAAGAAAATAAATCGAATTTCGAACCCTACAGGCTAGTGTGTAACATTCTCTAATTTAGCAAAAATGACCTTTCAAATCAGCTTTTTTATTCTGTTGTCAGTGGTCACTTTGGTTGGCGCTTTTTTCCCTCGCAGCGTCTTTCAGCGGGACTTTCACCGACACGTCGCGAAAGATTTGGAATCTTCCGGGAACGGACCAGACGAGCCGCTTCGGGGATCTGTCAGAGTTGTCAAACTAAGCCCTCATTTTCTGCGACGGGCCGCCGGTAGTCACGTGTCGTCCACAAACTCACCGAGTCGAGGCGCGTTTCCTGCTTTTTTGGCCCTCGGACGTCCCGGTCCGTCAGTCCTGTCCCATAACAAACCTGCGGCCCTGCTCCCTCAGGTGAGCGCGAGCAGCACCAGCGCAGACGCCAGGAGGAAACAGGGTCTGGATTAAATTTTTTTCTTATAGGCCTATTTAATATTTAATTAATATATATATATATATATATATATATATATTTATACAAATTATCTATTATTAATGAAGTGCTACCCTATTTGGTACGCACTATAAAAACATGCGTTTCCTGCTTTTTTGGCCCTCGGACGTCCCGGTCCGTCAGTCCTGTCCCATAACAAACCTGCGGCCCTGCTCCCTCAGGTGAGCGCGAGCAGCACCAGCGCAGACGCCAGGAGGAAACAGGGTCTGGAGATGTGGCAGAAAGTGATGCACAAAAGCGAGCGAAGCAAACAGGCCGTGGCGCTACGCATCAATCCCAAAGACACGAGCAAACAGAGCTGTGCCGCAGTGCCCTTCACACAGGTAGCCTACATTCATTCATTTATTCATTCATTGTATGTTATGTAGGCTATGTATGTATTTTTTTTTTAAAAGGACGCATTTTATTTCTAATTGATTTTGCATAGGTATTACTGTAGCTACACAGGTGCTCAAGGGATTTTCTTATAGGCCTATTTAATATTTAATTAATATATATATATATATATATATATATATATTTATACAAATTATCTATTATTAATGAAGTGCTACCCTATTTGGTACGCACTATAAAAACATAAACTTAAAACCTCAATTTAATTGCTGTCTTCAAAATTTAAGTAGCCTACAATAATAATATAAATCATGCAGTGATAAGTGCATTGCACTTGTTTGATCACTTTGAATTAAATTTCTGATGGGGGAAAAAAAACAAACAAACAAAATAAAAAATAAAAACATTTCTGAAAAAAGCATAAAAACACATAGCCTAAAAAAAAAAAATAATTAGTCTGATGGCGTTTAAACAGTTAATATTGTGACCAAAGGGAAACTATGGCTAAACGAGAATTTATAGCCTAAACATAAATAAGCTACATAAAAAAGATTATAGGCCTATGTAAGAATATGCTAAGAATTGAACTAATCATGTGTTTTTTTGTTTTTGTTTTTTCCCTATTTACACCGGGTTTAAAATCAGACTTCAAAATTGCAATTTAGCTTACATTGTTTGAAAAACTGGATTTTTTTTTTCATACAAGCGACATTACTGTGTAAACGATAGGTTAAGGATGACTAAATTATTAGCAAGTTGTTATTGTTATTACCTATTATTGTTATTGCTGTTATTATTAGCATTAAGTATTAACTTGTGTGAAAATGCATGCCTTCATTTAAACGGGTGTGCTAGCTTATTACATTTACTTGCTTGTTCTTGAGCCATAGCTTATTTTTCAAAATGACTTTCTGTTCGCAGCGCCTAACGGAGGACGGCTGTGAGACGGTGACCGTTCACAATAATCTCTGCTACGGTCAGTGCAGCTCCATGTTCGTCCCGTCCAGCGGAGAGTCCCGTGGACAGCAAAGAGCGCAGTGCACTCGATGCAGTCCCTCTAAACCGCGCTCTGTGCTCGTACCCCTGCGCTGCGGGGCAGAGGTGCGCGAGAGGCGCGTCATGATCGTTGAGGAGTGCAAATGCGAAACAAGCAGTGAAGAGGTCAAAGTTCAGAACACGGAAATGTTTCATTTCTAACAGACATTTTAAAGTTTTTTTTTAACGTTCTAATATTTAAGTGCACCGATGGTGTGTGTATTTATAGGATTACCAAGTCGTCCCGTCCAGCGGAGAGTCCCGTGGACAGCAAAGAGCGCAGTGCACTCGATGCAGTCCCTCTAAACCGCGCTCTGTGCTCGTACCCCTGCGCTGCGGGGCAGAGGTGCGCGAGAGGCGCGTCATGATCGTTGAGGAGTGCAAATGCGAAACAAGCAGTGAAGAGGTCAAAGTTCAGAACACGGAAATGTTTCATTTCTAACAGACATTTTAAAGTTTTTTTTTAACGTTCTAATATTTAATCGGTGTGTGTATTTATAGGATTACCAAGCCACATAAATGTGGAAGATTTGTGTTGTGTGTCTGAAGAGTGACCGAGATTCGGTTCAGGATGTGTTAAACACGAGTCCCCGGGAATACAGGGGAAACTGCCGTCTGATATTCAGCGGTATCGTATCTTTGTGTTAACTGAAATGACGATGCTGCTCTTGAGTTAATTTCTTTTTAAAGAATCAGTAATTGTATGGTTACGTGTAATTTCATAGCTTTACCGATAAGTGTCGCTGTTGCATGAATATGATTTCAGCATTTTTTTACACTTTAGTTATTCTGTTGTGTTTATAAAGAATTATTTGAATTGAGGTAAATTGAAACATAACTGAAATGACGATGCTGCTCTTGATTTAATTTCTTTTTAAAGAATCAGTAATTGTATGGTTACGTGTAATTTCATAGCTTTACCGATGTGTCGCTGTTGCATGAATATGATTTCAGCATTTTTTTACACTTTAGTTATTCTGTTGTGTTTATAAATAATTATTTGAATTGAGGTAAATTGAAACACATTGCAACGACAGTAAAAAGTGGCCCGGTTTACTCGACTTCTTCCTACACAGCATTAATCTTGCGGATAAAAGTATATTTGGCTACACTTTATTTTAAGGTGTCCTTGTTACAGTGTAATTATACCTTTAAGTACCGAGTAATAGGCTATTAATTAACTACATGTACATTAACTTACTATATGGTTAGGGTTAGGATTAGGGTTACTTGCATGTAATTATGCATAATTTATTGTTATTATAGCCTAATTGTAAGTATGTAATATGTGTAACAAGGACACCTTAAAATAAAGTGTTACCGTATATTTGTTGTATTTTGTTGAGATGTAGGCTATTTGAGTCTGGTGGCATTATCAGAGAATTTAGTTCTTACATTTTCGAAGAAAAAAATATAATCAGTTAAACTGTAGCCTACAACTGTACAAGCAACAAATAGGCTACCACGCAAAGTGGATCAGTACTCAATGAAAAAAAGGTGCTAGATCAATAAAACATCTGAAAGAAAGCCCATAACCTAAGCCTGTAGCCTATGTGTTTGTTTAAATGCCTCCTAATTCATTTTTATTCATAACAGCAAACTAAGCAACCTACAGAATATGTATGTAGCTTATGTATTCTGTGCTTTGGGCTTGCTATGTATTGTCTGCTAGGCTAATATAGGCAATTATTAGGCTATATATTATTGGAAGTTCAGCAATGGGTTCTATATATCTAACCTGCATGGGGTAGGCTATAGAAAATACGTATTGATCGTCTTGCATATTAGGTAAACAATAAAAGCAAGAACCTAGTTTGCTGCTTTAATGAGACTATCGTTTAACATCAAAATGCACTTTAAGTGTTAGTCTCTGTTGCTGCCTAATCACTCTGTTCAAAACTGTGGGAATCGGGAACTGTGTCCCTATAGGACAGCTGCACTTCAGTCCTGAACATGTCAGAGGAAAATAAAAGTGTTATTCATCGATTTTCTGGCACCTGGCTGAAAAAAAAAGGTCGAGTTTACTCGTCCTATACGAAAAATCGCCGGAAGGAGAACAAGGGGGTGCTTTACATCGCCTTGGCAGTCTGTCAAAACCGCTTCTGCAATTTGCATTGCGCGCGAAATTGCCCCCTCCATCTACTCCTCGCGTGGGTTGTGGATTTTACTGGCAGTTCTGGTCTACGTCAGTCTGTGCAGTGCAGTGGTTAATGAGGTAAATTTAAGTAAATTAATAATTTGTTTATTCCAAAGTGGTTCCTCGTGCAACAGACGTGGAGCTTTTTATTTAAGTTGCGAAAACGCTTTAGAGGGCGCTGTTGCCACGACGGCGCTGAACGAGGCGAGGGCTTGTTTTTTTTTCTTCCGTATTTGGGCTCACGCTTCACTCGTGCCAAGAACCAGAGCTTCGGGAAATCTAACCACCGTCGGTAAGCTCGTTAAATGACAACAACGCGAACCCGAGAGCATCCTAGTAGGCTACTTGTGTAGGGTTGAGCAAGCAAAGAACGGCGGGAAAATACGCCAGAGAAACGCGCCATTAAAACTGCATTAGAGGAAAGTGGTGTGTGGTTAGTGCGATCGCTAGGTTGGCAGGATCGGTTCATAACATTGCAACCCCGGGTGGCATATTGGTGTGATAGGCAACTATGGAAATTTGATTAAAGCATTACAAAGAAACAAGCTTTTACCTTTGAAGCTGATATTAATAAACGCCTGTGTTTGCATGAACAGCAAGTACAAAAACTAGTAGCCTATAACTTGTCACTCAGCCCATCTTATTGTGTTTGTTAAGCCTGGTTTAATATTCAGTCTACCCCACACATGCCCAGCACTGCGTATCTCCTGAGAGTGGACCAGTTGGACTTTTGCATATTGAACCTTTTTAATAAGGTGGCACTGATTGAGGCCTTTGAAATGCAGACTTGGGTCTGAAGCTGGTCCATGGGTGGATGGTGGATTGGTTGGACCTGACAGCTCTAAGCATGGTGAGAGGGGCCGCGTTCCTGCATGCCTCAGGGTCTTTAATGTGAAATGCCAGGGTAAACTTAGAGATGGTACGGTTGCAATGACATGGATGTGGCACGGACAACCAGGAGCAGCTGGGCAAGGTTGGCACATGATTGCCATTGGGAGTTTGTGCCGCAGGGCACCGCCAGCTTCCAGTGCTTCAGTTGAATCATACAATTCTCCATTGAAATTGTACATTGAGTGGCCTTCAATTCACGTCCAACCTATAAAACCCAAAGCAGCTGTATGTAAAAGCACACAGGGCCAGGGTTTTTATAGATCACATTAATTCACAGTGTATGGTAGCAAGTTAGCTAACTGTATCTAACTCTGGTTTTAGAAGAAACAAGGAATAATTCATTTAAATGCGAACTGTGTACTTACCCGCATATTGTTCCATTTCCAAGTTGTTGTTGTTTTTTTCAATGGAACACAAAAGGAAAAATGGAAAAGCTTTTTATGCCTCTGTCAAAGAGCTCCAAAAAATACATAAAACACTATAAAAGTATCATACAGTTATAGACAATGTGACTTGCGTTACACATATTCTGAAGCCAATATGCAGGATCTCAAGATTGCAAGACAAAGCAAGTTTATTTATGTGGCACATTTCATACACAATTTTAATTTGAGTCGAGTTTAAAGTTCCATTTATGAACACAAAAAAGTAAGAAAATCTGCCTTTTCAAATAGATTAAAATAAATTTAAATACAAGGCCATAATTGCAGTTTATGTTCATTCACAGAATCCGGTTACTGTAAAAGCCTCACTTTAATTTCTCATTCACTCTCATGTACATGCACAAATGCATGCGATTTTCGGTCTTGGTCTTTGACCTGTGGGATGTGCAAACATATTAATTAGACATTATAGATTAAAGCCTGTGAGATGCAGTTGATGTCACATAGCAACTCTAATTGCATTAATTAGGGTAATTAAGGCCAGACATTTGGCGAAAGCATCTTGTGTAGCCCTGCCTGATGTCATATTTTCCTGTCGTCTGCCTCACCGTGCCATGTTTCCGAGCTCAGCGTCCATGTGTGCCGGTGTCTGCTGGCATCAGGATAACTGTGTTCATTTACCCTGAGAGAGCAGGAGACATACGCTCTGTTACGGCGCCTAGTGAGCTGCCTACATAGCCCGTATTTTAAGGCTGTTCCAGAATGTAGGCAGTGTAATTCTGCTGACTTAGATATGTATTTTTCAAAATGCAGTCAGACAATGCTCTGTAATGAACACAGAGAAAAAATTATTCAAGATGGCAGACAAAAACAAAGCATTGATGAAAAATGGTCCATGGTCCATCTATGGTTTCATGAAGAACCTTTATCATCCACGGAAACTTTCCATTGCACAAAGGTTTCTTATAACGGTAAAAAAAGATCTTTAGGTTATTAAAATGCTCTTCACGCTTAGAAAAAAAATGAGTTCTTGTAAAAACTGATCTCTGAAAGGTACTTTAGCAGAAACAAAATGGTTCTTCTGTGGCATTGCTTTGAAAATCTTGAAAAGTGTGGGCAGTAAACAGCAAGGCTGCTCACAATGATTTGGAACAGATGCATAGAAATGTAGCTACTGTAAAACATTAGATTCTAGTGTCTGGGAGAGAAAATATAAAAAAAAAAGAAGAAGAAGATACAAAGTGGAGAAATGATACATTTCTTCCAGGAATGTATGCCAGGTTTTAATGGGGAGAAGCTCATTATTTGTCTTTTCCTCAACTTTCGACACATGGCTTTTGAGTGCAAAAGGGGAAAGAGGAAAAGGAAATGGAATTCCCTTTAAGAATTCATCACTCTCAGAGATGCAGGAAGTGCTCGTGGGAGCCATTTTGTTTCTCAAATTGTGCTGAGCGGAGTGCAGCGAAGAGAGAAAATCTGGGCACAGTTGAGCGTGCATTCTGAATGTCACTCAGACTCCAGAGAGTCTCTAATTGATTTGGGACTTTGATTCTTCGCTCATTTCGAGAACACAATGCTCAGAGAGTGGGAGTGAGCGACACAGCTGTAAGCTTTTAAATGTCTTGTGTTAAACATGGCACAGATGCCGTGCAAAACTTTTTAAAAAGAGCTGTGAGAATGTGGCACTGTTTGGAATAGCGTGCCGTGCTAACATTACCAATATGCAGTACATAGTATGTACACTCTTAAAA